TTGGTTAAATAAATTATGAGATGCATCTTAATTAAATGATTGTTATAAAAAACAAAGATACATTTTTACTTAAAGGTCCATGAATATTTGTCTTGAAATAAGATTAAAAAGTTCCAACAATTAGGGTCAAAATGTTAATTTATTGATTAAAATAAAAAAAAAAAAGAAAAAAAGAGAAAAGAAAATGCATTGCAAGAAAACTAAATTACAAGGAACAAGCATGATACTGCTACAAAAGTATAAAAGCATAAAGAATGAAATAAAGATTGTGCAATTAAGGAAGCATAAGACTAAATTTAAAGAAAGGTAGGAAGATGAATTTAGAACAAAGTGCAATAGATTGAATTACAAGAAATCAAATACATCAATGACAATATTCAAAATAAAATAACAAAAACTAGAGTTAAAGTTGGTGATAGCATAGAGCTAACAATTAAATTAAGAAAATTGTTTGAGAAAGTGCAGAGATAAACTAAAACATTATTTGTGAAAAGCTTTGTGAAAAATAAAATGAAGATTGCGCTGGACTTGTTGTGTAAAAGGTTTTATTCTTAATTTTATTCTTGCGTAGTTATAGCAGTAAATACCCTTTACCAACATGTTAGAAATTTACGGTAACATGAAATCATTTCAGTTTTATCTAAAGAAATCAAATATAAATCTTAACCTAAATTGATGAGATTACCACATGGTAGCTTTTCACTAGGTTTTTAGTAGTTCTTAATTTTCCCTCAATTATCCCCAAAAATTTACATCAACAAAATGATTTTTTAATAAACAAAGTATTTATCAACATAGATAACATGTGAGATCATTTTATTTTTTGTAAAATTGGGTGTAAACACATTCAAATTGGATTAATTTCTAAGGAAAGATTTGGTTGGGTTGGAGGACCTAAATGCAATTTTGTCACTTTTTAAAACCTAAAAATCCAATAAACAAGTTCAAGCCAAGACGTTGGCTACTAGCAGTCAAACAAACATATATTAACAGTTTTGTGACAAAAATAAAGTAAGAGGAGGGGGAAAATGGGAGAATGCTTTAAATACTTCTTAGCGCATTGAATCGATGCACATAAAAAGCCTTTCCTATGAAGCATTCAAATGGGCAAAATATGCAGAATATTCCTGATTTTATGGGAATATTCAGAATTCTGCCCCTCCAGCTCCACAAAAGTCAAAACCAAAAAAGTGAAGGCAGAAATTATATCTTTAGCGCATGTGTAGCTAACTAATGGATTTAGCTTCTACTAGACTTTGTGCAATCCGACCCTTAAATCAGAAGATATGGATGTTAAAAGAGGTAGAGAGGAGTGCCATTCTGCTCTAAATACTCGTATGCGATGAGCTGTTATGGATTGATGAGATGGCTTTTGTGAACTGTATCTGACATAAAAAAAATGTGGATTTACAGGGTCTGCTGAATGTAATCCATCAGGAGACCATTATTAAAGCTGGGTGTTAATTGCTGCTTTCTTGACCCAAAGCATGGAGATCTGTCTTTCCGCCTCAGTCTAGTATCAAAGACAAGCATCTCTTGGATAAATTAAAAATCATATAAACCTTCAGGAATGCAGATTTTTGTGCACTGTCCTTGGTTTCCATGCATTCGCCGCATTTCTTTCACTCCAGAGTACAACAGCATGATCACTGCTACCAGTAAGTAACAGAGCAGGTGTTTTCCCATTTGCATGATTGTTTATACAAAGCTTGTTGATTATATCTTTAAAGTGACGCTTATCCTCTAAGAAAGTCACACTACCTTTCTATCAGTTCACAAATACAGAAGAGTTAAATAAATTTTAAAAAATTAGGAGAAAGAACATCATAGATAGAGAAAATGTAGCTATTGTGGAGATGGCTCATAGGTTCTTTAAGCTATTAATCAGAGGTAAATCTGCTTTAACTTTGTTCTTAAATCATAAATTTTGATCATCATCTTAGAACATATACCCCCAGAGTCAGCAGTGTATGTATAGAAAACGCTGTTTCCCTGTGGACGCTACTATGCAAGGTTTTATCTTCCAGCCGTCTTTGCCCAGGGATGTTCAATTGTCAAGTAAAGATGACCTGCAGTTCATGGAAAAAGAACAAGATCCCAGATACCAAATGATCACTCACCTCACACAATTAACAGAAATGGAGAAGAGCACATGATGATGAGCCAATCATCTTTTGTAAGTTGAAATCTATTTATACAAGCCACTAAACAACAATAGTGCTACTGAAAAGGTGTGTAGAAAACTTTAATACTATCTTAACTAGGAAATACTGGTTTGGCTTGATGATATTACAATGCAAGAAACGAAAGACTGAGCAAGAGAAGTATCAACTGAAAGGAATGCTTGCTCCCTGACAATGATACCCTCACCCACATTAATTGTAATAATAACACAGTAAATGCTAAAACTAAAACCAAAATGATTTACAAATTTGTGGAGAGAATTAGAAGGTAAACCACATTTTTTCAAAATTTCCTAAGATAATCACAAGCAAATCATTCATTTCAACTGCACCCTTCTCTGTTAAATCATGCTTCAATTAAGTCCACCTAGTTTGAACCCTGTACGGGAGTTGTTTTTCTCCAGTATCCATGTCCTACTTAAGGTCATTTACTGCCTCCAAAAAGGAAGGACTTCATCACAATCAAAATCTCTAATGGAACAATTATGAATTATCCTTCT